TCCGAATTTGGTCGCACCCCGAAGCAAATTTTCCCATAAGGTCCAATGTAATTACCGTTAATCCGTTCTGGCGTCCGCAGACCACGTGTCAGGGGCGGAAAAATGTCCATACCCCGAGGTGGACTTCGCACATTGAAGTAAATTTTTGTGGCCGGAGCTGGTCATAACCCGAAAAGTTCGTTAGTAGGGGCATTCGTATCCCGAGGTACCACTGTATGTACACAGGAAGCAATTTGCAGTATAAGTTTAAATTGAGACAAATTAATGATAAAGCAATTTTTGGCACAACCTACTGAATGTATGTGAACAGGCAGCTTGTGCCTAGTGAACAGTACTTAGTAACGTAATGGTTAGTCTTGCTTTTTAATCACTGGTTCAACTTATCATAGTTCTTATGAAGATAACCAGGCCTTTTTTATGCCAACTGTTTCAGCGGCTCGTGGTACAGAATACATCACAAACTAGCAAAGGAGGATCGATAGCTTTAGCTGTTCATGGTGTACAACAAGTCCACTCTTCACCTGAGGTGAGTGATCAAATATTCAAATTTGGCAGGTTTTGTGAAGTGTATATGTAGATGTCCTGTTTGTTATATATCAAAGAAGCTTGAGTTTGGTCTTCGCTGCCTTTTGGTGTTGCTCATCCTCTCATCTGTCTCCCAGTTCAGTCTGTTGCTTTCTTTTCTCTATCCGTTTTTAGTTCCTTTACCTAGTCAGTCAGTCCTGATGAAGTTTCCATCTCACTTTCTAATTAGACAAAAAATAAATGTATATTTTTTATCACCCCAGCAGTATTGTTAACTGTGGAAAAAAGTCAGCATGTGCTGGTCACTTAAAAATCAAATAATCTGTAAGGAAATATAATCAAACATAATAATGATCAGCTTGATTACAGTCCTTTTAATATGGAAAATAAGTCATTTTGTACCTACAATTGAGAGGATTGACAGTAAAATGGTGACTGCAGGATTTAATTGCATTAATTGTTTTAAAAGTATATATAAAGAACTTGTTCTTCTTAATATTTTTTGTCTGCTCCGTTATGTGATTAGCAGAGATCAGATAGAATAGGACCGATCTAAGCAGAAAGACTGCCTGGTGAATTGAGTAGAAGCTATCCCTTTTCATGTGATTCCAAAAAAGCACTTCAGAGTTCATGGGAAAGTGAATGTAGCACCTATCCAAAACTAAAGTGTTATAAAGCACTTTATAACATTTGTATGTTATCAGAGGGGAGATCCCAAGAAAAACATGGCTGCTTTAGAAAGTTGAAGACAGATATTGCATTTTTATTCATACACTCAGAAACACTTGAAGCACCATTTTGGAACTGAATTCAAAGTGCTTCACAGCTACAATGAAAAGCCCAGGAAACAAATTAAAGACTGAAGGCCTATTAAGCAGGCAACAGGAAACAGTACCTTGGATAGCTCCATGTGAATTCTGCTGGATGAAGTGCCCCTGCTGAGACTGTGGAAGGGCGTTTTGTTTGCTGTTTTTAACTTCTGTACTGTTAAGGAAATAGAGTTCTGCTGAATGTTGTTCCTCAGTTTCTTTCCCACCGTCATCCATAGTTTCGTAGATGGTTAATAATCTGGCATTTCTTATCTGAAACCCATTTTATTGTACTCATTATGAAAGGAAATTCACCAAGATAGTATACGTTTGAGATTTAGATTTCAGTTTTCATTATGGGCAAGAATAGGAGACAGATAAATCTCTCCTGAAGTACCAAATTTACTGAAAGTTTTTCTGCATAAATCCTCTTGAAATGAACGTTGTTGCACATGATCTTTGTTGTTGACTATCTTATTTACAGCAAGATTTAAGTAATGGTAATTCTTAATAATAAATCCTAGCAATTAGTATAATGCTTTAGAGCTTTCAGTTTGTTTCATAAATGTTATGTCATTACAATCCTTTCAACAGGCTGTGTAAGGTCACTTTCATCCATCTTATGCAGGGAGGAAAGTTTGAGAGAAAGAGCTGTGCATTACCAAAACAATGTGATAGTTCCTTTCCTAAGACTTTTCTAGTAATTTCTGAATCTGTTCCATCTCCAGAGAATGATATGTGATGTGGGATATAACTATGCTATGCTGTGCTAACATTGCTCTTGCAAAATCAACATTTGCCCATTAGGGCTTCTATGCATTGAAGTAATTTGTTGGTACAGAGCATGAATCAACAAGTTTTAGAAGCAGAAGAGGAATAATTGTAATGATAAGGATTCCAGTCAATCGATAATTTGGCATGGAAATTGATCAGAGCCTCGGCGATCTTTTAAAAATCAGGGAAAGATTGTTCTGGTTCCATTTTGGCTTAACACAGAACCAAAGTTCAGCTTACAAAATGCTTTCTTCTGGGATAAGCAGCAACAGCTCTTGCCAAGTATCTACTTGGCAAATTTGAACCACATACAGGTAGTCCTTGACCTAAGACCATTCATTCAGCAACCAGTGCTGAATAAATGGTGGTTATGACTGGTCCTTGGAGTTCCAGCTGTCCCAGCACTCCTGTGATCACATGATCACGATCTGGGCACTTGGCAACTGGTTCACACTTACCAGAAAATCAATGGGGAAGCTGGTAGAGAAGGTCGCAAGTTGCTGGGGTAAGTCTTCCCCACCCACACACCCTCCCCCAGCTCCTCTGTGCTTGCACTGTGCTGGCCACTCACTCACCCTCCCTGAGCCTTGCCTCACCACACCTCCCTCACACCCTTGCACACCCTCCCCAACCCACACTGCACCTCTCATGCACCCCCTTGCAGCCCCATGCACCCTCCCTGACCATTGGCACACCTCCCTCATGCACCCTGTTATGCACTCCCGCGGACCCTCCCTGACTGTCACCATACCTCCCTCACACCCTCGTGCACCCCCTCACTTTCCGACCCATGCCATGCTTCTGACACACACCCTCACGGATCTTCCCTGAGCCTTATTGTGCCTCTTGCGCACCCCCGAGCACCCCTTTGCTTCCTCCCCTACTTGGCAGCAGCCACTTACCTCCCTGCTGACCTGGGGCTTGCAACTTCCTGTCAGCTTCCCCACTGACTTTGGTTGTGGGAAGCCGGCAGGAAGTTGCCTTGTCTAAATGACTGTGGGACTTGGTTAACGATAGCAACTGGGACTGCAGGGATTGCCATTGCTAAACGATGCGGTCGTGCTTTACGACTGCATCATTAGTGATGGAAATTTCAGTCCCAGTTGCCATTGTAAGTCGAGGACTACCTGTATGTAAATACCAGTCTGCTGCAGTTGTCTACATGCATGACTTAAAAGAGATATCTGTGACTGACCTTTATAGTTTAGGTTCTATAGAGCTGTTTCAGCCTTCTGTTTCTTAAATAATGCTGGTGGGGAAGGAGGGGAACGGATATCAGTATTTTGGTAGATGATTTCTCTTTGGTAGATGATTATTGCTTCTAATATTGCCTAAAGGAACCATCTTGGTGTGGGTCAGTATTTTACATTAATCACAAAGATCTGTATTGGTGATTATTGGCTATGCTGATCTTGGATGTTAATGTAATTTCTGATAATTTAGTGCTGCCATTTTTCACCATTAATAAAAAAAATTGTGACAGGAATTCCAATATATTTTAATTCAATTCAATATAAGCATGAACATTGTAAAAATGAAAAACAACAGAAAGAAAAAAGGCAAGATTTAAAAAACCAAATCAAAGGATTATTTTGACAAAGTATGATGCATAAAGATGAATTCACTATGACCCTGTAATGTGAAGTTAGCCCCCTAATATTGATAGTATCCAGATTTGTCCAACTTTCATTGGTCAAGCTGTAAAAAACATGTATACAAAATTAATTGCACTTGAGATATATGACACAATTTGTTCTGGTTTGAGCAGAGTTTTTGAACGATTCTTTCTTGGATTTCAACAAAAATCAGTTCTATATTCTGAGTCTTACAGATTAAGCAATAAGCTAGAAGAATTGCCCAGATCAATAGATTGAATTTATTTGGAATTATTTGTGTGCTGTTTACTTGAGTGATTTATTTATTGGTTTTTTGTCTTGCTTATTTACATTAATTGAATGTTGTTAACTTGAAGCCCCTTCATGGATCACTGCCTTGTCATGGCGAAGGGGCTTGCGTAACTCAGTGAAGCC